GAGAGACTCAAAATCCTCGTTTTCCATCTCCCTTGGGACTCTGTGGAAATAGCCTGATGATTTCTCCTGAAACTTGTTGCAGATGATTGCCCTGGTGATGGATTCCTTCACAGATACCGATATCTTCAAAGACCTCTTGGAAGCTTGTAGCCAGCGGCAAGTTAAAGCCTATATCCTCCTAGATCAGTCTTCGTTTTCCCACTTTCTGAAAATGTGCAAGGATCTGGGAGTTGACCTGGAACAGGAAAAGGTGAGCCTTGTCATATTTATAGGGGTAGAGAGTTGATCCTCTTATGACTGAAATCTTTGAGCTATCGAAAGATGAAAATATAAAGCCTGCTGCCACGATTTAAAATGGGATTTATGTAGCTGTAGCTCTTTCTTGGAAGATTTAACCATTCTTGCATAAGAAGGCAATGAACAGAAAAACTGAAATCTTTAGAAGTGGAAGTTACAGTTGCTTTCTGAGCACAAACACTAGTTGAATATTCAAGGAATGCAGGAGGAATGTCCAGTCCCTGCAGTGTGACTGGAGCCGCTGAGGCTCGCCAAGGCTTTGAAGGCTGATGGAGAAGCAGGTTCTCAGGAATCTGTGGAGTTCAGGTCACTCTAAGATGTGGTGACAGGAGTTTTTACAGTCACATTCTGCTCAATCAGTTTATGGCTCTGCCCCTTAATGCCACCTCTTTGCCTACTTAAAAAAAAAAGGCAAAATTATCATTTGGTTCCTAGAAGGTGAATCTTGTGCCACTGCAGAGCAGCCTTTGCTAGTTCATCAGTGATCGTTACCGTGTGTTACTCCATTAAATGCAGTCGTTGAACTTTGAAATCCTCATAACATTTGCCGTGTGTTTCACAGCTGATGAGAGTTCGAACTCTGACGGGGAACACGTACTACACGAGGTCGGGTGCCAAAATTGTTGGAAAAGTCCGTGAAAAGTTCATGTTAATCGATGGCATCAGAGTGACAACAGGCTCCTACAGGCAAGTGCCAATTTCTCTCTGGTGCTTTACATGTTTTCTTTACATGGGAAGGAAAAGCACAGCCCACGCTGCAAAACTGCTTTCTGTAGCACCGTTTACTTGTAAAAACTGTCTTAGAAAAATCACACTGCGCATCATTTGGATTACCAGAACGATTTAACTAAATGTGATGAAAGAGAATTTTCAGTTAATACTTCGTTCAGTATTTGTCTTGAATTAATTCAGAATTTTCTCTTTCTTCCTTTGCTAGTTTTACGTGGACAGACGGGAAGCTGAACAGCAGTAACATTTTGATCCTGTCAGGCCCCGCAGTCGCCCACTTCGACCTGGAATTTCGGATTCTTTATTCACGCTCCAAGCCAATCAACCTCAAAGAGTTATCCAGCTGCCGGAAGAGCAGGGTGTTGGACCAGCTGGTCAGGATAACTGTGGCTTCCAGAGACTTGACCAGGGAAAACTCCCTGAGAATGGAGTTTTTGTATCTTAGAGCATTCGTAGGAAATCTGAAGAGGAAGCGGAGCTGGCTGCACGCCTCAAGGGAGGCGCTCTACGTGTCGAGTAACGCAGTGCACGCCTCTCCGCCGCTGACCAAGAGGAATGACTCCCTGGTTATGAGGCCACACTGGATCGTAGAGAGATGAATTGCACAGTGGAGGGAGCAGCAGAACCTCAGGAACTGTGTCCAGCCATCCACGCCCAGGACTGTCTTACAGCATCTTTGTGAGGGCGGATGGGAAACAAACCTCAAGCTGAGAGAAAGCGATACTGGGATTGTGGTTTCATTTGAAGACCACCATAATGCAGATCAACAGATACAATCATGGTATTATCTTAGGCTCAGATGTGTTTTTCAAAAAAAAAACCCAAACTCTTAACACCTGGAAAGCCATTACTGACTTCTGGTATTCTGTCAGATTTTCATTTTTCAACGTATTCTTACATGTTTAAAGCTGATGGATTAGGAGTGTCTTAGCTCAGTAGCTCAATCTTCTTTTTTTTTTTTTTTTTTTTTTTTTTTATGGAATCTAGGTGTAGAAACTTATATTGCTTAAAGGTCTTCCAAGGATGAATAGCAGGACTGCTGTGGGGCTCTGAAATCAGGCCAAGCTTAGTCTTGTGTTGCACAAACTCTCCACGAACTGTTTCATGACACAGAACTGCAGTAACCATCATCTAGAAACTAGTAGATTGGTACTGTGCTACTAGTACTCAGACCTTACATTTTCCTGCTGTGCTCCTGGGCAGAACAAGGGAAAGCATCAGGCAAATGATTGAATTTCAAATGACCTTTGCTTTATAATTACAGGAATACTTGGATTGCTGGACATCAAGCAATAAATGCATGCAAGGGATAGTATTCTTAAGAATCTCCTATGTTTGTAGTAAAGACAAAGAGACCATTTTCTTGGCATTACTATGCATATGTTTTGGTTTCTTTATGGTTGCTACTGCTGTCTGATCTTATGGGAAAAGTTGAGTAGATCTGAAATCTATGAAGCTACCCCTACTTCTCAAAAGCCTTACTTCTGCCAGACATGCAATAACATGAAAGTCAGAAATAGAACCATTTATTTTTATGGTTTGATGCAAGCTTGATGAAAAAAAAAATAAAAATCCATCCATTTCCAGAGAAGAACAAAAAATCCCAGATGAAGAACTATCCTCCCAGGAGCCTGCCAGTGCAGAAACTCTTCTTAGTCCAACCACGGCAGCTGTGATGAAAACAAAGGTGCACTATTGCTCAAGATGTTCTTGAGGCTTTTGCTACTGCAAAACACTTTGGTATATGCTTGTGCGAGTGTCTTGTGGGTCCTGGGCTTCAAAGGGAAAGGTTAAATCTTAGCTGGGGAATTTCATATGGGTCTCTGCCACACATCAGCAGGACAACATTAAACTGGACATGTGGAGCTTAGAAAAATGGTCTTTATGGGCAATGCAATAATATACTGATTAGGGTGCAACTAATCTGTGCCCTTTTTCTTCGGCGCTTGCAATCGTGGAAATATAATAGTTCTAACTCCTAATTTGTTCAATAGTTCTAACTTTTATCCAGATGTAAAGAAGTTTGAAACACAAATTTTTATTCTTCTGTATTTTCCGTAAACACAAAAAAACCTCAGTGTCATACTCTATGCAAAATACTGTTTGTGAAGTCTTATTTTCACAATTATTATCTGTATATGTTTTCTCAAATACAATTTTTTAACTTTGTTACTTTGTTACTCCTCTCATTGTTTTAATAGGCAGGTCTTTCCATGTGCCATTAGTAGGGCTTTTTCTCAGCCGTTGGTAATATATTGATGATAAACACAGCTCTTACCACAGTATTTTGTATTTTTGATGGAGTGGACTTAATCTGAAAAGTACACAGAAATAAATCACTAGAATTTTAAGAATGTCTTTTTAATTATAAGTGAGTAACTTATTTTTCAAGTGGTTACCTAGTGTTACAAGTGACCACGGAGGCACAGTGGTGTGGAGTCTGTACGAATCACCACAACTGCATGGCTAGCCTGTCAAGTTATTAATGAAGAATGAGAATAATTAATAACATAAAACGTGATTAGATTTTTTCCATATATTTTTTTCAAAGCATGAATTTCTTTGCTTTTTTTTTTTTTTTTTTTTTTTACTCCAGCCTATACTTAATTAGCTCAAAGTCTTCATTAAATTTGATTCAATAATACCTTTAATGGGCTATAATAAGCCTGTGGTAGGGCACTGCTGGATCTATTAACTATTACTGTGATTGTTTTCTCTCTAGTCTTTTGGTTGCCTGGTGTAAAGTCCAACAGTTCTAGTGCACTTAGGTGGAGGAGGCATCCTTCATGTGGAGAAAGGACTCAATTAACTTAACACAACAAGGACTTTTTGGAGGTGATCTTTGAACCTGGTTAAATCCCAGGTTAAACACTTCATGTTAGTAACAGGAGTAGTATTTGGAGGGCTGCGTTACACGTATTTCACTCTTTCTTCTGGCTTGGAGACAAAGGGTGGGTTTTGGTCTCACTTAAAGGTGATCACCTAGGATTCCTCTGCAGGGTTGTTTCTGTGTGTCTAAGTAACAGCATGGACTCACAGTTGGTGTTACAAACTGGGAGATATTTTTACTGTTAAAATAAAGAAATGTCCAAAGGTTTAGCACTTAGAATCATAGGATTGTCTGGGTTGGAAGGGACCTTTAAGATCGAGTCCAACAATTAACCCAGCACTGCCAAGTCCACCACTAACCCACGTCCCTCAGCATCTTGTCGACCCATCTTTTAAATACCTCCGGGGATGGTGACTCCACCACTTCCCTGGGAAGCCTGTTCCAGTGCTTGATAACCCTTTTGGTGAAGAAATTTTTCCTAAGATCCATCCTAAACCTCCCCTGGCACAACTTGAGGCCATTTCCTCTTGTCCTATGGCCTGTTCCTTGGGAGAAGAGACCGACCCCCCCTGGCTGCACCCTCCTTTCAGGGAGTTGGAGAGAGCGAGAAGGGCTCCCCTCAGCCTCCTTTTCTCCAGGCTGAACACCCCCAGCTCCCTCAGCCTCTCCTCACAAGACTTGTGCTCCAGACCCCTCACCAGCTCCGTTGTCCTCCTCTGGACGTGGTGCTCCCTCCAGCAGCTCCGCTGTGGGGGACGGACAGGCCCCTCCGGCAGCGGAGCGGGGCGGCACCGGGCGCCATGGCAACGGGCGGCGCCTCACGTGCCCCCCCCCGCCGCTTCCGCTTGCCCTCTCACCCCAAGATGGCGGCGCCCGTGGGACCGGTGAAGTTTTGGAAGCCGGGTGAGGGGGAGCGGTGCTTCCCGGGGCGGTGAGGGGTGGCTTGTGGGGGAGCGTCAATGCCGGGATGTCCGCGGCGAGGGCCGGAGCGAAAGCCGCGGCGCTACCCCCCGGTTGTTGAGGGGCGCACGGATTTCAGGCGCTGTGGGCAGCGGGGAAGCGGGGTCTGGGCGGGGGGAGAGGTCTGTGTGATTCCAGCCAGGCCCTGCCCGGTACCGGGGTGACAGGGGAGGGGAATGAGTCCGCTTTCAGCCCACTGGGGTGGATGGTTGGCCGGGCGGGGGTGCCGCCCTTCAGGGGGGCTGGGGAGACGCGCAGGGGAACCCCAAGGAGTCTAACAAAGGGTGGTGTGAAGGCCTGCTCCTGAGGGGAACAACCCCGGGTGCCAGGCAGTGGGGAGAGCAGCTCAGCGGGGAAGGACATCGGGGTCCTGTGGGGCTACAAGCTGAGCAGGAGCTGTCGATGAGCCTAGGCAGCAAAAGAAGGTCATCACATCCTGGGCTGTGTGAGGAGGAGAATTGCTGTGAGGCTGAGGGACGTGATCCTTCCCCTCAGTGCTGGGAAGGCCATATTGGGGTGCTCTGGGGGCTCCCCAGCACCAGGGAGACACGGACTGACTGAAGGAGGTCCCCAAAGTGAAGAGACACAGAGATGATTGAGAGCTTGGAGCACACAACATGCAAGGGGAGGCTGAGAGAGCTGGGACCACTCCTGGAGGAGTCTCAGGGGGGTCTTTTCAATGTGCGTAAATAACTGATAGGAGGGTGAAGAAGATGAAGCCAGAACTCTTCTTGGTAGTGCCTACTGACAGCACAAGAGGCAATGAGCACAAGCTGAAACCTGAGAAAGTCAGCTTAAATGTGAGAAAAAGTTTTTCTGCTCTGGGAGTGATCAAGTTCTGGAACAAACCATCAGGCAGGTTGTGGGATCTCCAACCTGACTGAATGAGGACCCGAGCAGCCCTGTGTAAGTGACCCTGTGGTAGGCAAGTGTTGGACTAAAAGGTCTCCAGAGGTCCCTCCTAGCCTCTGCTGTGCTATGAGTTTGTAATTGTTCCCTCAGGATTTGGGCAGTGGGTATCTTCCCGTTTGTTTATCCCAAAGGGGAGCTTGGTGGATCTGAGTTTGGCGTTGTTTTTTTTTTTTTTTAAATTGGTCACTACATTGTGCTATGCTGTGGTTTGCAAAGCTATTCTAGAGTCAAAATTAGTTTAGCAAACAGCTTCTTAATCATTTCAATATTATAGTAATATCTGTGTGTACATACAATATGTATGTATATAGTAATATGTTGACAGTAGTGTATTTAAAAAACCCATAGAAAGTGCTGTGAAAGGAAATCAATGGGTGATAAGAAGCAATATCTGTTGAGTTCATTGATTTGTAAAGATCCAGATATTCAGGTTCTGGTTCTTAGCTTCCCCATCAGTCCTGGGCAGTGAATAGTTATTGGAATAATTGCTAATCACTCTTAAATCAATTTGCTGTAAAACTTGCTTGGCAGTTTTGAATAGGGACTAACTGTTTTTAAACTGTGGAAAAACTGGTAAAAGCCCAAACAAACAAATCCTACAAAATAGGGGAATCCCTCTCTTTACTCTCAGACTTTTCCAGTTGAATCTGCAGCTGGAGATGATACATTCTGTTACTGAGATGAGATTTTGTTTCTAGTTCACTTGCATGATTCAGTGTTTTCAGGTGTCAGTCGTTTTATGGTAACCTGCAGCAGGAATAAATCAAGTTTTAGCTATTGAGGTAAATTCAGATCTGAAGTGAGTGGTGTATCTCATAACCAGGCAAGGTTGAATGTTTATACAGCTTGATGTTAGTCCAGGGAAGTTCTGTTACATGTCTGTCTGTCTGGCTTCAAATCCATGGACATACTTCTGAGAAGGATATTGAAGCTATATCTGAACTGTTGCATAGAAAAAGAAGAAAGTTCCAAAGATCTTACTGTATATTTTTCCTAAGTGAGTTTTTTCTCCTTTATTTTGTTTAAAAAAATCAAATACTTTATTCACATTACAGAGGGTTTTTTTTGTTTTTTTAACCAGCAGGAGGCACATATTTCATTTGAAAGAATTTTTGCGTGTTTACTGTTTATAAATATGCTGATTATTTTCATAGTAAAGTTAGTCTTTTGATATATGCTGCTACCCATGATTACTCCTTGTAAGTACCATATTTACTTTGGTTGCATTGTGATACACTAGGCAGAAGTGTATTCCTCTACTTAAAATTAACCTGTGTCGTTTAGGCACAGAAGGTCCTGGTGTCGGTGTCTCAGAGGAGAGACAGAGTCCTGCTGAGAGCAGTGGCGTAACCGTCATCTATAATCCTTATGCTTCCCTTTCTATTGAACAACAAAGACAAAAGCTGCCTGTTTTTAAGGTACAGAAGTTCTTTTTGATATATTAAATGTATTGTGGGGTGTCTGGCTCATGTCTGGTTTTGAAAGAGCAGCATAGAATCACTTTACAACATAAAATAGTAATTTTATGGCCTTGGTCCCTCTATTTGTTGGAATTGATTGTCCTGTTTGACAAGTGTTACTGACAGTTTTACAGGCTTTGTAGATTTATGTTATTTACTGTATGTTGCACATGTCATTTATAGATTTCAAAGAATTGTTTAGCTTTTGGCAGTAAACATGTAAAATGAATTTATTGTGTCTGATAGATATGTAAATATTGTCATTTTAATTATTTTCTTACTTTTGTACATGTCTGGTTTTGATACTTAAATGCCGCCTTCTCTTTCAGCTAAGAAATCACATACTTTATCTAGTGGAGAATTATCAGACTCTGGTGATTGTTGGGGAAACAGGTTGTGGGAAGTCAACGCAGATTCCGCAAGTAAGTCTCTGTTTAACTCGGTAAAATTGGGGGATTCTACATGAAACATTAAACCAGCAACTCAGAAGTGCACTGTGAGAATGGAATTCACCTCGTGTGCTCATGTGTATGACCAAAAGGAGAGAAATACAAGGTTTCGTATTAGATAGCAGGAACTGGTATATCTGTAATATAAAATCTTCCACTGCAGGAAGGGGCCATACACAACAAATAAGTTTATGCTTGTACAAATAGTCACTGCACTGTAGTAGGTGATTACTGCTCTATCAGAATCATGTGTAAAATTTTGTTGACAGTATGTTTTGAAGAAGGAAAAATGGTACACTTTTTGTACGAGCTTTCCTTGTGGAAATGTTTGGAATTTTATGACAGGAATGAAAAAAGTCTGAGACTGTTTCAAAGTCAGTTTTTGATTTTAACTTAAAAATTGCAGACTTGTGATGGATGTTACCTGGTTCAGTGTGAGTGCAGGACTTGTGCTGCCTAGCTTTTTTTTTCTTAAAGCAAAGAAGGGAAAAAAATGAAGTGGTTCAAAAATACCTGAGACACGAAGAACTGCTCTTAGATGCTTTCTGAAAGCTTATGTGCTGAGGAAGCAGGTACTGTATTATATTAGTTTTAATGGTGAGAATTATGCACAAAGTCTTTAAGTAACTGATTTGCTGAAGGTCACGCATCAGTAAGTGTTAGAACTGGGAAAAAGCACATAGTGCAGAGAACTAACACCTTGTTTTAATTGCAGCATGACCAATTAATTTCTTATCCTTGCTATTTGTTCGCAGTACCTCGCAGAAGCCGGCTGGACAGCCGAAGGAAGAGTTGTTGGAGTAACGCAGCCTCGCCGGGTTGCTGCTGTTTCAGTGAGTTTCTCCCTGTCTGAATTTTCCCAGTTTGTCATTATAACCTCCAGTTTATTAGCAGGTTTTGCTGAATAGCAGGAATCACAACTGCACGAGCTCCTGAATGAATAGATGTTCCTGCTTATCTTCCTCACAGAAATGCTGGTACTATATGCTGAATTCAACCTGATTAGCAGGTCTTGCCAAAGATTCCAAGTCCAGAATTGCAGATGTAGAAGCTTTGAAATAAAATTGCACGGTATCAGCAGAGCTGTGTATGGAAATTAGGGCTGTGCAGGGTTGAGCTGTGATTGACTCCGGACTACAGCTGTGCTTGTGTGACCCTGAACTGCTTTCACAAAGTAGGGATGTAAATCTCTTTATAGTAACACAGCCAGTGGAAAAAAGAGAAGGTTTTATACCTGTTTCTAGCAGTTTATACCTAGTTTTCTTGAATCTTTTTTTCTGTGTGTTTTTGGTTTTTTGGTTTTGTTGTTGTTGTGAGGGATTTTTGTGTTTTCTGTTTGTAGAAGTGTCAGGGACAAGAAGAAACTGTTTTATTCTGACAGATCTTTTCATATACGTAGTATGTCTAGGAGAGTATAATGTCAGCTAGATGTACTGTGAGAGGAAGAAAAAGGGATGTTGAGGGCAAAAACTTGTACTCTCTGATAACAGTCCACATGGAAAACATCCAGTGCTCCTTGCCTTCCTCACATTGCCAAGCACTGATGTGGTGGGCTGAAGTCTCTGCTGCAGCGTTCTTTTTGTACAGAAAATGGAAGTGTCATTTTGTAACCTTCATTTTGCCAGTTCTTTGTAATGTATTAAACTGTACCTGCAATGAATCCCCTTATGCCTCAGGTAAAACAGTAGTAGATGGAACAGCTGTACAACTTTCTGTTTCATCTCATCCAGTGTTCTTTGACCAGATTCCACATGATTAAGGAAGCGGTTTCTAGCAGCGATCTGCATCTTGTGCTTCGGGCAGCCTGCCTGCAGTGTCCTCCCTTTTCTCCTTCACAGGACACCCAGCTGACAGTGCACGGTTCTACAGGAGATCCTGCGTATACTGCAATGATTCCTCATGACAAATTTACTTCTTCATTCCCTTTCATGTCTTAACACCTTATTTTTAAACCTAAAATAAAAAGATTACTCAATTAGGACTTAGTATATAGACACAGCAGGGCTTTTCTTCAGGAATGTTGTTGCAAACTGCCTGGACTGTATGGCTGTTGCAGGGAGATTAGAGATATGGTTGATGATTTATTGCTTTGCCTTGAACTGAACGTGATCCTTTATTTTAATAGGTGTGCTTATCTGCTTTCCCATCCAGAGTATGGGGGTTGTCAGAAGTAAAGACACGTAGTTGCAGAGACATTAGGCATAGTTTAGAAATGCTTGACCTTCTGCTTGGGTTACCCAGACTGACAGTTACCCCGAATGCTTGGGCCAAAAGTGGCAGAGTGGTAAGATTGCAAGTGAACTCTTGAATTCAGTGCCTGTCAGTGTGGTTTGGAATGTTACTGAAATGACTGAAGGCAGCTTGCTCTAAAATTCTAGGACTAGTATATGTATTGTGGGGTTTTATTGTGTCTTTAGCTATTAAATATCTTTGTAGCTTGATGAAACCATGGCCTGATAATACCTAATATTCTGTAGAATAAGCCTGAATAACTCGAGACTTTTAGCTAAAGGGGCTATTGGCTTAAAACTGACCCGGCGTAGTACTGTTCCAAAAATGGTTGTTTCTTTAGTTATTCTGCCAGTTCTCTCTCTGTTTTCTGCATAGAGGGTTCTGTATTATGAAAAGTATGGTAGCCTCTTTCTTTATAAAAGAAAAAATAAAAAGCCTGAGTAAGTTCAGGGACAGAACAGCTTAACCGAGAAGTCTTTTCTGTATGCCATATACCTTTCTCTTTTCCATGCAAGCTGTGTTCTTAATTTGCTGGTAGGTGGTCCTTCCCCAGGGTTGTGATGGGTTGAGTGCCTGCCTTTGTAGGTCTGTTAAGAGTACTCAGCACAGAAAGGTATCTCTTCACCTTTCCTGACTAGAAGCAGCATGAAACAAATTTATGAAGTTATGCTAAAACATTTTAAAAGTACTTACTGCTTATATATTCAGTTTGCGCTGCTACGTCGAACAGAATTTTGTGTTTGAACAAGAACAAATAATTCTTTGGAAGCACTAACTCTACTCCTGGTTTGATGCCAGTTCTCTGTGGGCAAATAACGCGTGTGCTGTGAGCTGTCTCTTGGTGATATAAGTCTCTTTTCTCAGGTCGCAGGCCGAGTTGCTGATGAAAGAGGTGCAGTGTTGGGTCATGAAGTTGGATATTGTATTCGGTTTGATGACTGCACAGATCCACAGGCTACCAGAATTAAGGTGAAACATGAACAGTAGGTGGTTGCTCTGAAAGGGTTTGCTGAAACTCTTCAAGTACTTTTGCAAAATTAATGAGAACTTTGTGGTGCCAGTAAAGAGAATAGATAGCACTTCAAGTTTCCAGGTGGGTACCCCAAAAGTATGCTGTGGGTATGCAAACCTTCATAAAACAAGTACATGTTCTATTCTGCTAGTCTGGCAGCCACCACTTTAAAACTAAAGATTTTCAAGGTATTAATGGCCAGATATTGGTACAGGGCTGGTGTGACCTCATACGTCACTCGCAGTCATAGTGAAAAGCTGTGGTGAATCACAGCTAAAGTATCCTCACCATCCTAAAAATAGTTTTTGACTAAAAGCACAGATAAAACATAAGATGAGTAGGCTAACTCAGAGTAATTTGGTGTGGATTAAATAGCAAGCTTTGCAGCTGCTCTTCAGTGATGTGAGCAATATTAATGTTGCTTGTGTTGTGTACAGATGAGAGCTGGAATAGCAATGATGATGAATGAGACAATTTGCTTTTTGATTATTTTTTCTGAGGCTAGTAGCCCTTTTAAAGTGAAAGAAATTGAGATGTTTGTTCATTAAATGCAGCTGAAATAATCTTTTTTTTTTGTATTTTTTTGAGTGTGATGATGAATCATTTCGGGTTGGAAATTTGAAGGTTTTACCCTTGCATAACAGTTATTGCCTAGTTTGAGGCCAAAGTCCCAGATCAAACTGCTGTTAGATGGCTACATAAAACTGGTGGGATGGAAGGAAGAAAGTATTAAATTGAAATGTTAAGGTTTGTGTTCTGGTCAGAATTGTGTGATAGATATTAAGTAGGCTACTTTGAGAAGGTCCAGTCTGGGTTGACACACAGGATGTTACTGATAGAGCAGATTTAACCATGTTACAGACCAGAGTGAAGAAACTTCTATTGTCATGTTCCAGTGCTACCAATCTGTTATTTTTTCAATACAAAAATAACTACTTTTTAAAAATTCATTACTGATTAAAAAGCAATCACTGCTTATCTCTGTCTTAGAACTCAGAAACACATATTTGGCTTCCATAGCTGAAAACTGATCAATTTAATAGATCATTAGAAAATTAAAGGCAAGGAAGAATTCAGACACAAGTCTAGAAAATCATCTTTAAAAATCACATGGGTTATCAAGACTACCTGATAGGGGTTATTTACATTTTTCTTTGCCTTTGCTTTTAGTTTCTAACTGATGGTATGCTGGTGAGGGAGATGATGGCTGATCCTCTATTAACAAGATACAGGTAAGGAAACATGGAATGAATGCTTGCTGAAAGTTAATTTGGTAAACAACTGCATTTATTTTTTTTTTAGACTGAGATGTGGTTATAATAAATTAAATACCAAAAGATGCAAAAATTAATTTAGGAGTTTGACTTCATTACATTGTAAAGACTGCTAGAAAATCATTTGATCATTGCAATACCAAACCCATCAGGATTTGGTGCTGTGGTTTTGGAACAAAAGCTAAATGGGCCTAGTGGAGTCTGAATCATTTAATTTACTAGTTTAGAATTTACTTTTTCTTTCTGATGCTAATCAAAGGAAAAAAAAATCAACAGCAAACACAGGCTGTTCTGAAAACCTGTGCAACACAGTAAAGACAGACTATTTTTCTTCCACCCCTTTCCAAAAGCTATGTATATACCACCTGGTGTTATCTACATTTTTCTCCCTACATCATTGCTGCACTTTTTTTAACTTCCATAGTTTTCTAAATGGATATAGAAAACTGTCCAACAGTAGATTTAAAATAGTGATATTTCTAGAAGAAAGGAAGACTCTGATTCTAGTGTCAATCAAACCATTTCTGAAATCTTATCTTTCTGCTTTATTCACAGTGTCCTCATGCTGGATGAAGCCCATGAAAGGACTCTTTACACAGATATTGCCATTGGCTTACTAAAAAAGGTTATTTTTTTTTTAACGTTCTCTTTAACTGTTTTCATTTTCATCCTTTTTATTAAACTTCTGATCCTGATGGCTGATAAGTGAACCTGTTTGAGAGAAGGTGATTTCTTGTTCCTCATTGCTCCTCCAAGGTGTCCCTGCCCAGGACAGGGGGGTTGGAACTCGATGATCTTTGACGTCCCTTCCAACTCTAACCATTCTATGATTTTATGATCCTATTATACATACCCAACTATTTACTTTAGCTCTCTGACACTCAGGATCTGTTATTTCCTCCTCCCAATGCTGAAATTTCTTCTTAGATAATATTAGCAAAAACGTGGTCTTCATTAAGGTGATGATGTGAAGTGATCTGATGGGGGTTGATATTGATCCTCAACCTACGAAAGCTCTGACTCCCACCAGAAATTAACAGTAAAGTGATTACAGACTGAATGCCCTTAAAATGAGTATATGAAAAGCCAGTGATCAGGTTGTTAGATCTATGGGGTGATGTGGGTGCTTCGGTTTCCCAGCTGTCTTAGGGTATCAAAGTATTTTCAAGGAGAAATTATTGGTAATTGGATGCTGTAAAACTTGATTCTAGCCTTATATCTCAGAAAACAGTTTTTACTCTAGATGTTCTTGGTCCCTTTCCTAGGTTCAAAAGAAGCGTGGGGATCTTCGACTGATTGTGGCTTCAGCCACCTTGGATGCAGAGGTACAGCTCACAGATTTGGTTTGAAATGAAGTGACCTTATGTGGCAGCTCCATTTCTATTAATATACAGCTTATCCTCTTTGCTGCTTGCTTCTCGAGAAGCAGTGCTGCTGTTGGGTGAAGAAGAGAGGGAGGGGTGCAGGAAAAGAATCTGCTGTAGTTAAATTGCTGTGTTTGGTTTTCATTTTGTACTAGCAAACTTTTTTGGAAGTGAACTTAAATATGAAACTGTTTTGCATCTATTTGTGCCTTTTTTCCTTTTATTGGTATCGTATAAAAAGATGTTCTCTTGGCTTCATCTAGTCTAGTAAGAGACATTGTTTTAGCTCTGTTTTGCTGATAGCTATAATTTGAAACAGCCACAGACCAGTAAAAATAAGTGATAAATGAGTAGATTTAATTTCAGTGAGATCTTACTAGTGCCCTGGTTGGCTTGTGGCCTGTAGAAACTTATGTAGCTTACCAAAAACATCATTCATTTAGTTTTGAGTAGGAAGAGAAGAAATGCTCTCCTAGATCAGAGCAGTGTTCCCTCCAGCCTGTAGCAGCAGCTGTAGGAGATACTGTTTGGGGAGAGCATATGAGCCTGTCCACCTGCTGTGGTTCCATTCTCTTTGAGCTGCTTCAGCATCTGCAAAGGTTGTAATAGAGATATCAGACAGTACATTCCTGCTGTTTCCTTCTAGTATGTGTTTATGGACCTGCTGTTTATTAATTTGTCTTTGAATCTGGCTGATGAAGCTGCAAGTCTCCAGGACATCACGTGAGAGCAATTTGCTCCCTCAATTCTTTGAAGTATCAAAGTGAAAGTGCTTGTTTTTATTTTATTGTAGAAATTCAGGGATTTCTTTAATCAGAACGATACCGGTGACCCCAGCAAAGATACCAGCGTGATTCTTACTGTCGAGGGGAGAACGTTTCCAGTGGACATCTTTTACATCCAGAGGTGTGTTCCTGTTTGGTCTCGTCAGTGGTGATGAGGAGAGTGTGCAACTGGGGTATCATTTTGTCTAAGTTTGAGCTCAGAAAATCCCAGACAAATGGTAAGGATCTGTAGTGTTCCATTTGGGAAACATTGGGATGTTGCTTATAGCAGCGGATAGGTTCTTTAGCTTACTGTAGTGTAAAGGAGACAAATAAATTACTGAAGGCTGATTCCCAAGGATGCATCATGAGCTAAATGTGATATGGCCAATAAATAGCGTCCAAAAGCTATCTCTCTGTTTGTTCCTCGTGGAAGTGAGGAGCCTGTACCTATTTTTCTGCTAATGCCTCTGCTATTTTCTCTCCCCATAGTCCTGTTCCAGACTATGTAAAATCAACTGTGGAAACCGCAATGAAAATTCACCAGATGGAGAATGATGGTGATATACTGGCATTTTTAACTGGCCAGGTATAGACATAAGCTTTTTATTTTTTGCTTCACAGTGCTGTATTGTGAGCTTGGCAAAGCCACGTCAGTCTCATTTTTTCCTTAGCTGTGCTTACTTTAATCTCATTAAAGATGATAAATATTTCTACATTGATGGGAGCAGAACTAGGCCAGTCTGAAAGACTTAGAAAATGCAATTATGGTCTGGATTTATCAAAGCTAGTGATGGATGATAGTTTTTCTCATTTAATGCTGTGTGCTTTCGTCCTTGTTAATAAGTGGAACAGTATGTGTTGTTTTGGTGCTAGGCACACCTACAAAGTTGACAGTGAGTCATCATTAATAGTTAAGGCAAGTGGAATTTATATTTGTTAAGCTTAACATCTGAAGACTTTGACAGAAAAACAAATTGCTGTGAGATAAAAATTTATTCATCTCTTCTGCTCTATTTATGCTTGTCAGCTCACTTCACAGCCAAGAATAGTAAAGGGGAGGTAGCTTATAATTTTTCCAGTGAGGAGCTACCTGGAAGAGCTTCAATAACATCTTGCATATTTTCAGAATAAATTCTTCATGCCCATTATTGATTTGACTTGGAAAGACTGAACCGGGTCTCTGACAAGGCAATGTCTGAACATTTTTGTTGACTGTGTTTAAGAATGAGGTGCCAAAGTTGATCTCTGTGATTAAATGTGAAGTTGAGCAATGAGTGCTAATACTGTTACTGTGTCGTTCTCGATCAAGACCCGCAGGGTTCTACACGGTCAAGATAGATTGGGCTCCCAGTTTGCTCTCACAAGTTGAGATAAACACAAAAATATGCCTCCTTCTTCCTGAACTTTGTCCAGTCCTTCCCTTGTGATTTTTTTCTTTTTTTTTTTTTTGGTATTTGTGACATTGTCTGAAATAATATATATGCAAATATTTATCTTCATTCTTATTATGAATAGCGATTTATGTAAGAATGTTAAAAAGGGAGCTAGTCAGAAGATCCTTTGAACAACTAAAACTATATTGGGATTATTTTGGTGCATTTTTGTGTATAGGTTACAGCTATGTGGTATTAAAGTGAATTCTCTCTCTCTTGCTCTGGCTCCAGGAGGAAGTGGAGACGGTTGTTTCTATGCTCATAGAACAGGCTCGGGCCCTTTCTCGCACCGGAATGAAAAAGCACCTCCGTGTTCTCCCTATGTACGCTGGGCTGCCTTCTCCCGACCAAATGAAAGTGTTTGAGAGGGTTTCTCACAGTGTCAGGAAGGTAAGGCTGTTGGGTATGGCTCCATTTCCACCACCCAGAAGGGTGTCTGCCTTGCACAGATTGTACATATCAGGTTCACATCATAAGAGCTTGCAGCAGTCTCACTGAGGGAGACTTTGTGAATCTCCTAACACTGCCTGTCTGTTTGCAGACTGTGAACCAACAACTTCCCTTTTCATCTTCGATCAGTCCTAGACGTGTCAGCTCTAACCCTCCTGTTTATCTCATTAACTTCTCAATTTCTAGGAGTCTTTGCACAGCCTTGTATTTGTCTGTGTCCAACTGCAGCTTATTGTACTCTGAAGTCGTCTAGTTTTACCTGGCTTTATTTCTTTTTGTGGTCTAAGTGTCTGTGGCTGTTTTCCACTAGTAATGAAAAAAAATAGTGACAGAGTGGGTAAGTGCTGTATTTTCACCTAAGAAACAAATTAAAACTTGCTTGGTTTTAGTAGAAAAAAAGCTTTGTTTTGACTTCTGCAAGTCTTGTTTGGATATCTAACATCACAGAACTATAGAAGTGGTCATGATTAGTGCTTTCTGCTTAGGCAGAGCCTGTGTTGCAGCTGAGATAAGCTGACAGAATTACACAGGGGTGACTTGATGTAATTCTTGTGCCTGCTAGAGTCTAACAAGTAAAATTGTTCATCTGGTGTTAGAGAACATTGAGTATAAATACTTCTTTTCTCTCCAGGATATGACATTAGCCTATTAACTTCCAAGATTTACTTTTTTAATTTCAGGTGAAATAAGGATGACATTTCCCTCTCTCATCTGGGAACAATTGTTTTTTAATATTTTAGTTCATGTAGATAAGTATATCTCTTCAGGAATACTGAACATGGAGCACTTAATCAGCTTTGTTCCTCTGCTATCCCCTGCCCCACTCCGGTGTTACAGGTGACAGCTCAATATAACTGAGAAGCAGAAAGAAAATATTTTTAGTTCACTACATGAGAACATCTGATTTACAGTCAGTTAATGTTTTTCTCTGCAAACACTGCCAAGTTCTTCTACTTTTATGAAGAGAGAATAAATTTGAATAAGAAAGTGACTGTGAAACTGTAAAAACTGGGCTTATTTCAAACTGACAAGCTCTTTCTGCTGCATGTACTTTGTACTTTAGAGTGTGTTTACTGGAACTATCACATCTGACATCTTTCAGGTGCCTTTTATGGGAGTTCTGGTGCGCTAGTGCTGGGGCTTGAGAGTGTATTTGGGATTGGGGAGTTCACGGTATCCTTTTTCTGTCCACATCTGTAGGTGATAGTAGCCACCAACATTGCTGAGACCTCCATCACAATTCACGGCATCGCGTACGTCATCGATTGTGGGTTTGTGAAGCTCCGGGCCTATAACCCCAAAACAGCCATCGAATGCCTCGTGGTGGTACCCGTGTCTAAAGCTTCAGCTAACCAGAGAGCAGGGCGGGCAGGACGGAACCGCTCCGGAAAATGTTACAGGCTTTATACAGGTCAGTAATTTGATGTGTTGGGCAGGTGACCTTGCTGGTGTGACTAGAAATTTTCCTTCATTATTCCTCTGACTTATTTCTAAATACACTCTTTCATATGTGCTGAGCTTTGGACACTGAATGCTTTTATGGAACAGAAGCACAAACTGAGCAGGGTAGGTGCTACGAGATTGTCAGCAGTTGCAAACCTGGGATGTTAATGCAGCTCTGGCGAGTCTACTAAGAGGTTTATCTTTTGATGATCTTAGTTTCTGAGCAGTTGCTTTAATTTATAATATCCACCTATGATGGTCTCTCCTGCAACTAAAGTCTCTTTAGTTGCCCTACCAAAGGGCTCTGGAAATCCTTTGGATTTTCCTTTTGGAGGGAAAACTTCTTTGTGTCCCCTTTTTCGTAGGAATAGGTGCCAACCCCAAATGCTTCTTTTGAATCAATCACCCTGGCACTGTACAAAAATGACTGTTACAAATAAATCTGTTGGCCACATAGCAGCATTCAGAAAGCCATGATCCAATGGTCTCTGTTCTCAGCTGTTTAATGAGAAAAGGCATTGCAGTTGAGCTCTACCGTTGCTTATGGGCCTCAGATTCCCTCTAGTTTTACTGGAGCTTTGAGATTTAGTGAGCAACATATTCTTTTAAAATGCGTGTGTGCCTGCCAGCAGTTGCCACGTTAAACAAAGACATGATTTATTCTCTGAATTTGTGCCTCCAATAAGAATCAGGAGAGAATGCTGCATAATATACCAAGCTTACAGAGCTTTTAAAGTATTTTACTGGAGAAACCATGACTACACTGAAGTTATTTTTGTGTGCTCAAGAGCTGGTCTAACGAGTGCTTTAAGAAACGTTTTAAAGGAGGGAAAAAAAAAAAGAAAAATAGTGGACCAAAAGTAGAGTAAAATTACACTCCCTTTATCTCAAGGAAGGTCTGAGATAGACGAGAGATAAAGAGGGTTCTGTCTAGAAATTAAGATAATCCAGGTGAAAATAATGTATTCTTTGTCTTGATTTGGAGTTTTAGATCAACATAGGGATGAGTGTGCCTTTTTCTTTGCTGCAGAAGAGTTGGTTAATGGATGGTCCAGGGATTTTGACGTTATATTAAGTCTTTTTTCAGACCTAAACTTTATATTGAACATGCTTTTAAAAAGATACCATTAAATAAACTGTTTTTCAGTCCTTAGTCTTTATTTTAAATATGCTTTTGGAACCTCCTTTTGTTTGAGTAGTTTCTAAAAATAGTGGTCTTATACTGAAAGCATGCTGGTTTTGAACTTTTTCGTGTCCCTTCTTCAAAAAAAATGCTTTTTTTTGTAGTATTGCACCCTGCCTTTTATGTTCTGATAAAAACATTAAACAGAAGACAAATAAAGCATTTCCAGATTTCTGTGAAGATCTTATAACATATCAAATTGAAATATGGATGGATTAGCTACAGAATCAGCAGTGTAGCCAAAACCACTGCCTTTTCTATTTAAATTAAAGTATCTAAAAATACAGTAATTGGAGAAAGATCATCTTTGCGTTAGAGTTCTTTTAACATCTGTTAAGTATTCATGCTTGATAATTTTAACTTGAAACGGGTATGATTCTATTGTGTTGACTGCACTGAGTGGGAGTTGAAACTCGGTCCCAAATTGCTTTGTTTTCTCCCACACTAGAGGAGGACTTTGAGAAGCTGCCAAAGTCCACTGTTCCAGAGATGCAGCGCAGTAACCTGGCTCCTGTCATCCTGCAGCTGAAGGCTTTGGGCATTGACAACGTGCTCAGGTTCCCCTTTCTTTCGGTGAGTCCTAGGCTGGAAAGTCTGTCGTCTTTCTTTAGTGTGAAGAAAGATCCCTAGATGACTTGTTGGGAACCCATAGAACCATTAACCTGTAACCATTGCCCTGTTAATTAGGAAAGCATACCTCATTGCCCACTGTCAGGTGGCAGAGTATGTTTTTGGGAATCAGCTAGTGTGACTCATGTGTGTGACAACTTAGAAATGACTGTGTTTGTATTTTAGAGTTTGCTGTTAAAAGTGTTGAGAAGTCAAGAAAGGCCTAGAAGGACAAACTCTGAGATTCTGCAAATCTGTAACTGTAGCTCATGTGTGTGACAACTTAGAAATGACTGTTTGTATTTTAGGGTTTGCTGTTAGAAGTGTTGAGAAGTCAAGAAAGGCCTAGAAGGACAAACTCTGAGATTCTGCAAATCTGTAACTGTAGTCCCTATTGCACTGAATTTATGAAGAAAAGAATCTACAGATTGTCTGTCTTCTTAAAGGGCTGTACCAATTTTTGGATGTGCTTTCTGTAAAGTTTCTAGCTACTCTTGCATTCATGTAAAAAACCAGTATGGCAGTGTTAGAAGAGAAAGATAAGTAATTTCTCTGCTCACTGCTGGCATTGCTGTTGGACAAAGCAGATGTGCTTTTTCCAGCTCTGGTCTTTAGAGCGTGACAGTGATGAGATGCTGAGCTGTTGAGATGGCTTTGTCTGGTGGCACTGTTGGTCAGTCCCTATTGCACTGAATTTATGAAGAAAAAGAATCTACAGAACTAAACCTGTGCTTGTCTGTCTTCTTAAAGAGCAGTACCAATTTTTAGATTTGCTTTCTGTAAAGTTTCTAGCTACTCTTGCATTCATGTAAAAAACCAGTATGGCAGTGTTAGAAGAGAAAGATAAGTAATTTCTCTGCTCACTGCTGGCATTGCTGTTGGACAAAGCAGATGTGCTTTTTCCAGCTCTGGTCTTTAGAGCGTGACAGTGATGAGATGCTGAGCTGTTGAGATGGCTTTGTCTGGTGGCACTGTTGGTCAGTGGAAGGGTGACAGGAAGGGTCTGAAAACTGCTTCCTCATTTCGCTTAAGTAGAAAGGTAGGTAGTTCAGTGGAAGGGTGACAGGAAGGGTCTGAAAGCTCTTTCCTCATTTCACTTAAGTAGAAAGGTAGGTAGGTAGGTAGAGCTGAAGGATTTTGCAAAAGAGGACAATCTAAGAATTTTTTTGAAACCTCGTGTGTTCCGTGATGATGACTTTAAACAATACTCATTTTTTTTCTTCGCAGCCACCTCCTGCACAGTCGATGGTGCAAGCTTTAGAACTGCTGTATGCTTTAGGAGGTGAGAATATTATGCTTTGCTTTACTTATGGCTATGTTGCAGGAGCTATGAAAAGTTGTTCATTTGGATTTGGTGATTGGATGGACATTAATCAAACTTGCATTGGAGAACTGTGCTTTGAGAACCAATATTCTTTGAGAAAGAGAAAATGCAACCGTGACTGGTGGAAGCTTTTTCTGGTGTGTTTTTAAAGTATACCTCAGTCTCCTCTGAATTTACTTTCTTTTCCTCTGGTTATTTGAGACAAGTAAGCAAGCACAAGGCAGCAGTCACTTTCTAGGAGACACTAGAAATCTATTGCATGGAGTATAAACTAGAATGTGACTGTTTAGATTGGGCAAACAGATCTTTTACAGGTATCTTCTGTGTATTTCCCTGTACCTTTTTGGGAGGAGCCAGCCATTTGTCCTTACTAACAACTTTGTCCTTACTCAGAGTGAGTAAGGTGAGGACAAACAGATCTTTTACAGGTATCTTCTGTGTATTTCCCTGTACCTTTTTGGGAAGAGCCAGCCATTTGTCCTTACTAGCAACAGGGCTCTGAGTGAGGATGGTGTTGGCTTGGTTCAGGCCTGTTTGTGTTTCTTCAGTCCTTACAGAGCAGTATGAAGATACAAATGGAGTTCAGACACTAGTTAGACTGGTACATGAGTTAGACACTAAATTTACCTGTATCCAATTAGGTTAATTGTAAGATATACCACACTCTTAGTGTGGTGATCTTTATTTTGTGTTACTGGGGCAGCAGTGGAAACATGTAGCACTTGCAAATATAAACAAAAAAAGTTGGAAGTTTTGACATCTCTTCAAGATCAGACTGATTTTAATAACCTAGAATTTAGCAAGCTTCATGTCATTGCTACTTTGTTTATTGCTTGGTTAGACTTTAAAAAGCATAGTGTATCTATTTTAATTTTTTGTTAGCATGTTACATTCATTATCCGCTCTTGATGTGTGTGCAGGAACTGTCTAAACATTTTAATTAAAATCTGATCCCAAATTGATTTTGGGAGAGGACAGTCACGGGAGGCTGGAATTAAACCCCAAAGTGTGCTTCCCAATGGCTTAGCAAAGCAACTCTCACATGGTAGTTATCAGACCTTCTCATTGATGCGATTTTGAAGATATGACTGACCAGTTATTAAGAGCTAATATAGTTATATTATTTTTAAAATTACTTCTAGTTTGCTCTGGGTTTAGTACGGAACTTACTGGTTATAGACAAATGAACAGGTACTTGCAAACTTCTGATGAAAAAGCTGGTCTAACAGACCCTGAGAGCATAATTCAAAGTACTTTTCCACTCTTGAACTACTTAATAGAATTTTCTTTTTTTATTATGTTCTCCGAATTGCTAATCACAGCTTGTTCTCAAATTCAGTGGAGTCCGAACAACGCTGAGTCAACTGGTTTAGTTTTGGGTCGTTCTGTGAGGAGCAGGGAGTTGAACTTGATGATCCTTATGGGTCCCTTCCAACTTGAGATATTCTTTGTTTCTAAATGTGTGTGTTTTGATTTTATTCCTTGTGCTGCTGTTGGATACCCCTAACACTCAAATCACACTTCAGTAATATTTTTATACACAGGTTTCAATTCCTTTTTGTTGTGGTGAGTGGAATGTACACTGTCTAATTCTGTTTACAGGAGGGACTGTTATATTGTTGGGTTTTTTGACAGCTATTTAATCTTTTTGAATGCAACAAACTTAAAACAGAAACTTGACACAAGAACAAGTAATCAAAACAAAACTCTGTTTGACTTTAGATCGGTGTTTGTAGTTAATTCAAAGTTAACAATATTTGCTCCATAACATAAACACGAGGAAAAGGGTAGCGTAAAGGAGATTGTGTAAGCTCTGGAAGCTTCCAGAGGTTTGTGGCTGTTTTTACATCACTTACAAATGCTGTGTTGTAACTTGTGGCTCTCTCTTTATTCTCACGGAGCTGTAACTCTCTTTCTGGCTGTGACTTTGCTCTCTGCTGATTCACTTCCATCTTGCAAAGGAGGGTTTCACTTAAGGCACTTGGCGTCCATTTCCAGCTTGGAACAGGGACCTTCTCAGTGGCTCAGCAGCCTGTTGTGAGGGTGAATTCACAGCCAAAACCACCTATGGGAAAGGGAGAGGAAAGGTCAATAAACTCAATGATTCGCTGGTTGATGTTTTGGCAAAAGTGTTGTGCTTGTGGTGTCTTCACAGAGAAGTACTGAGCTGTTTCTCTCTTGGCTGCCCAGCTTGTGTAGCAAAGCAGGGAAGTGCTGATGTTGGTGTTTGGGATGGAAAGGATTGTGTATGTGTGTGTGCGATACACGGATTCGCTCTTCAGCTTTTGCTGAAGTTTAAGGTTTTAGGTGGTTTATTGCGGAGATTTTCTATAAGTTGCAGAGGTGAAGCTGCTGCAGTAAGGGTAAAATTTCTCCTATGCAAGTAGGAACGTGTGTTTCATCATTGGCATGGTAATGGCATGCAAATGTGCAGTTTAGGGTCAGGACCCTACAGTGCCAACAGAGACGCTCTTAAGGGCGAGATTATTCTGTTGAATAAACACATCGCTGTTTTTAGACTGATTATTTTTACAGTGATGCAAACTGATTACATCAGGGCTATCTGTTCTCAGCCTTCTCCTTTGAAGCCCCTTTGAAAGTCTGAGTTGTCAGTTGAAGTTTATTGTTTTTAAGCATAATTCAGGAGGTAAATAAGCAGGTAAAAAGTGGCTTTATTTTTAGCTTTATTTCAGATCCAAGATTTTGTTGAAGGTTTGTTTGTAAGTTGTCTCCTCTTAGAAACAACCACTCTACCAAAGTTTAAAATAGAGTGTTTTAATCCCTCAGCCTGTCACATACTAGTGGTTGTTACTTGAAACTGTTTAGTGCCACAGGACTTGAATAATCTCTCCTGAGCATGTTCAATAAAAATCTTTGCAGTACTTTTTCCTAAGATCTCCAATTTCATATATATATATTTATATATGGATACAGTGGTTGCTTTTAAGATTATTTCAAGGAAACTTTTACTTATTCCAAACCAGTATATTCAGGCTTACTGCTACAAAAAGACATCTGTGCACAAGCTATATACATATATATAGCTACAAAATTGCTTAGAGATTTGTAGGATTCAGCAGAAGCCAAAGGATTTTGGCTTGATGCACCTGAAGAAAGTTAGAAAGATGGTAATTTCTCCTTTTTCCTACTTAGGAATGCAGTTTTCTTTCTGTAGATGAAAGACAGCGTATTCTCATATATTAATTGTGGTAGCATTTAAACTTCTCAGATTGCAGTGGCCAAATGAAAGCTGTCATACCTTAATTTTTGCAGTTTCGGTGACTTTGCATTTAAAGATGTTACTTTAAGCTGCCTTTTGTACCTGTTTCTGAGGAAAATCCTGTGCCATTGTGACGTGCCTGTTAGGTTTTGTTGAACAGCACAGGGGTGTGGTGTGTGAATTACAACATTGTGGTAGTAAGTGAGGTGATAGCATATCAAATAATAAAGGAAAGTAAACACTTGATAAGGGTGTCTGTGGTTTCAGATATGCTGACAGGAGTTATAGGAGATCTCGTTCCTTGATTTGTGGTTTTGCTTTTCTCTGTGAAACGCAGCTGAAGTACCACTGTGGTTTCTTGCCACCACACAGATTGACAAATAATATGTTTATATAAAGTGTGGGCCACAGTTGTGTTTCCTCAGCCCACTCAGCTGTGGTTATTCATGCAATCTACAGTGCCCCAGAGTCCTATTTTGGGCTATTGCTAGTCCCTCCTTGTGAAGCTTTTCTCTTGTGCTCTGCCTCCTCACCTCATGTAACTTGGTTTACTTTTCTATTTCAATTCTCACTCTTTGCCGCCGTTATTAGCAAGCTCTTTTCTTCTTACTGTTTCCTGTGTCTGTATTCCTGTTTTTTTTTTTATTCCCTATGTCCTAAATACCTAAAAAGCAGCTGCGTAAGTCCAACAGCTCATAGGCATCTTGACCATTACATTGGCCTTGACTGCAGGTTTCCTAAATTGTTGGCAGTAGCAATGGAAGTTGGTCAAAATGAAGAAACTTGTGTGCTCACATATGTTTGAACAAAGAAAAAAATATATAGGTGAGCCACGGGGGAGTAAATGGATATTAAGGAGTGCCTTTAATCTTAGTTTAATATACATTCAGCAACTCTTAGGTGCATTTGCTATACTTTAGCTTGTAATTCTGCTCTTTAGTACACATTAAATTCTTAAAGAAGACTTTCTGTGCTACTTTTGCCTGTATCACAGCTCCATTTATTAATATGCTGCAGGTTTGGATATGCACTGCCGTTTAACAGAGCCTCTTGGAATGAGAATAGCAGAGTTTCCTTTGAATCCAATGTTTGCAAAGATGCTTCTGGAATCAGGTAGGTGAAAAGAAAAGTCAGATTTTCTTCATAGTCTTGTGATGAGTAGTGGACACTGCCTTTTGTAATTGTAATGTAGCTTTAGACATTTGCTAAACTTGAAACAAACTATGCTTCATCTTGGTATGGTGTTTAGTGAAAAGAATTGGTCAAACTCATGGACCTCTCTAATAAATAAGAATCTAATACTTTTAACACACTAATAAGTGTAACACATTTGTCTTTCAAGTTTTCCATTAAAAACATTCACTGTTATACTAAAAAAATATCCAGGGGTGTAGGTATTTTGGTTTTATATACTATAAAAATACATTCTGTTACTTTTCCTTTGTATTCTGTATGGGGGTTAGTTGAATGGAACAGGATTTCCTTAACTGAATTTCTCCACTTACTCCTCAGGAAATTTTGGCTGCTCCCAGGAGATTTTGACAATCGCTGCCATGATGCAGATTCAAAACATTTTTGTGATCCCTCCAAATCAAAAAACTCAGGCTGTAAGTTCAGTCATGTCTCATTTTCTTTTTGGTTAGTTCCATGTTTCTGGATTTCTGCCACGTACTTTATTGATACCCATTACAGACTGCAAGTTTCTATGAAAATCAAGCAAGGTCTTGAACTGTGCCTTTTGGTTATGGGTAAAAGAGGAAACTGAGTAATGGTGGGAACCTTGGAGTCCTTTACTACTGTTAAAAGCCTCCTTCTGACAGCTAGAAACATGAAAGGTTATAAACCAATATTGGTCAGCGTAAGAGTTTTCCAAAAACCCCAAACCTCCTCAAACACCACTCCCTTTCAAGAGGAATAGAAAAGAAAATATTAGGTTGTAGCAATTTCTTAATAGGTAGCAGGAGCCTAATTTTTATGCATCCCTCTCTTGAATTCTGGGGGTTCGTTTTCAGTTCATTTTTCTAATTTCAGTTTTAGAAGTGCTCCTGAATACAGGTGGGCTAGGAAAATATCACTGTTGCCTAGAGAAACTACCCTATGTGGTAAGAATTTTAATAGTTACCAGAAAATACAGAGGTGATGGGAACTGAGTGTATTGGACATGATTTTTGTAAAAAATCAGTCTGCCTGTAAAAAAATATTTCTTCTTCTCCAGGCCAGGCAACACAGAAAGTTTGCTGTGGAAGAAGGTGATCATCTCACTATGCTTAATGTGTATGAAGCCTTTGTCAAAGTAAGTCACCTCAAGTGTATGTGGATCTGCAGGAATGGGAAACACTGGAGGTCCTCAGTGCTGATTCTGCAAGCTCTGGGTATAGCATCCTCAAAGCTGAGGATTTACCAAGTCTATTAAGTGATAATTCTGCTTTTAAAGTTATTCTGGTTGTGTTTGACCATAGACCTTCTGTAGGTCTTCTGAACAGGGAATAGAAAGGATTTGTTTTGGGTACAGCATGGAAGTCTTATGGGTAGACAGCTGTATTTTCAAGGAAATTGGGATTTTGGAATGGGCCTAGGAAAAACATATCCAAATTCCAAATGAAATTCATATTCTCTCATCTTTTCTTCCAATGTATGAGTTTAACTGATTATAAACTGCATCTTTTCTTAAGAAAATTGCCTCATTGATAATCTTTTCTTCCAATGTATGAGTTTAACTGACTATAAACTGCGTCTTTTCTTAAGAAATTGCCTCATTGATGATCATATCCTCTTTTTCATTGACCTTATTTACCCTAAGGTTTAACACCAACCTTAATACTCTGTAAGCTGAGGTTTTACTTAACGTTTTGAAGTGCTGTATCTATTTGGGAGAGGTATATTTTGCTGGTATAAAGCAATTCTGTAATAATGTATTTGCAACAGTGTTGAGTTGAAGCAGCCACTCAAGTGCTTAAATACGACTTCCCTCTACCCAGGCCCAGAGCAATCAAAATTTTTTATCTGTGTGATGCTCTTAGAAACTGCCAAATGCAGAGGCTCTTGGCTTCTGGAGAAAGAGTTCTTTACATAGAGAAGACCAATGAAAATTGTACAAAAAAAGGTTGTTTATGTTTTGAGATTGAAAACAGACCAGTTTAGGATATGATGCATTTGTGTGTGAGAATGGAATGACTGATGCTATTCTCTTTCACCACATCTGAAGAAATGAAGCACATTTGTTTGAAAATACCCCATAACATTTGTTCTACTACCATTTAGAAGTTGTTTGAAACATGTTTTGTAGTTATTGGTGCTACGTACCCTTGTTAGTTGCTATGTAAACAGGTAATTTTCAGGGAAAACCACAATAAATATGTTGTAGGAGACAGAATAAAAACAAAATAAGGAACAAGGCTATGTGATCCAAAAGAGACTGGGTTTTGTTTTGCTGATGGTATCTCATTGTAATTTTTTCTGTTCTTCTCACCGTACAGCACAGCAAGAGCTCTCAGTGGTGTCAGGAACACTTTCTGAACTACAAAGGGCTTGTTAGAGCTTCTGTTGTAAGAGAGCAGCTGAAAAAGCTTCTCGTCCGCTTCAAAGTGCCAAAGAAATCCAGTGAAGGTGAAATTTTTATATTTTTTTAACCTGTTGTCTAATACATATTGAAGGTAGTCTCCAAATTGTCAGTTTGCTTCCTGCTTTTCTTGTAGCCTTTGAAGTGTTTTCTCCCTGGCCCAGAAATAATGTTAGCTAAAACCAAATTTTATTCCTAAAAATGACTGCAGAAGAGCATTTTAGCCCATTTTTGCAATTAACATTCAGTCCAGTCTTCAGCAAATTTTCCAGCAACAGATTATAACCACTGATTATATATTTAATGGGCAGATTTCCTAGAAGAGTTATAAATAGATCATCTCATTCCCTCTTTTGACTTTCCAAAAAGAAATTTTTCTAGTATGTTCGAGATTCTGTACAGTCATTGGGATCTGATTTCCAGTAGTGCTGTGTGTTCATGGGTGTCACGACTTGTTCTCAGCACTTGTCTCTGACTGCTCTGAAAAATCAGACTTCGTTGCTTGGCTGTCACACAAGGTTGCTCTAAGGACTGTGAAACCTTTTCATGGAGAAACTAGTGGCAACAGTAGTTCTTTACGTAATAATTTTGATTTGCTGTGAAATTGAAGTCAAAAGAGATTGCAGGGTTTGTCTGCCTTCAAGCCTTTGCCATCAAAGTCTGATGCACTGTGAAAAGTTGCATGAGATGATTAAGTGGTATTTTAGGGATTTTTGCCATTCCATTGACTCATTTGATATAAAAAATCTCTTCTTCAGGTGATCCGGATCCTGTTTTGAGATGCATAGTTTCTGGATTCTTTGCTAACGCAGCTAAATTCCACTCTACTGGAGCCTATAGGTAAATATATATATATATATCTCTATCTACTGGAGCCTATAGGTAAATATATATATTTATATATGTCTTCATTACAAATGTTGCTTGGTTTAAAAGCTTCTTTTGACTGGATACATTAAGTGTAATCAACAAACAGATGCTTCTTTAGATATTTGCAAAAAGAAACACACAGTGGTTTATTTACTAAATATTTGAAGTTTTGTATCTTCAAACTGCTTCAATGTTTATCTCTTCTTTTTGGCAAATATAAATAATTAGAGTTATTGATAATGGGAGGCTGTTACAAATAGTATTTGGCTTGTGTTAATACAAGCAAGTGCAGTGCTCCGTTGCAGCACTCCCAGTGCGCTGAGCAACAGCCTGAAACACTACTTTGCCATTTAATGTAGATAGAACTCTTTTAGGACATTAAATTATCATTTCTTCCTTTGGCCAAGATTTAAGCCTGGTTTCATCTGAAAGCCTGTTCATTAAATGCAAATGTTTTTAATTTGCTCCAGCTCTTTCATTGTTGCCTTTTATTAAATCTTCTTACTGGGGATGAAAGGAACCAAATGTTAAGCAATAAATAGATGCACGGTCTGAAATAGTATCTTGCTTTCAAGGACAATCCGTGATGACCATGAACTTCATATCCACCCCACTTCAGTGCTCTATGCAGAGAAACCTCCTCGCTGGTAAGTTAAAGCTGCTTTCACTGCCTTTGAGATCTTTTTAAGACATTCTCAGCATCCAGACATTTTCATGAATGACTTTTCTCCATCAGTGGGAGAATAGATATAGGTGGTCATGGTTCACACAGAGAAAACTTGATCAGTGTTTCCTTTGCAACTTTTTGTAAGCAAATCCAAATGAATCAGGGAATAGAGTGATGTTTAACTGCAAATAACCTGCAAAAGGTGGAAAGCAGTCAGGTGACCCTTTTTTAATAGGCACCATATCTTGCACTGCAAATGCTCTCCAAGTAGTCTCTGTACCTGGATGGAACTAGGATTAATTTGCTTTTATTAATCCTGTTAAGTATCTGTCAAATAAGTGCTGCAGTAACTGCAAATGGCTTGCTAGGAGTCAAAACAGCCATGTCAAATGCATGATGTAAAAAGGTTGAGAGAAGTTGTGGTTGTCTAGCAGATTGGGGAAAGAAGTGGTTGTACTTTCCTATTAGCTGGGATATTACAGTTCCATTTGTGTGTCAAAATGCTCAGATAACAATTAGAAATGTGTTTCTAACTACTAGGTCAGCATGATGGACCTGAAATATTTGACTTTTGTCCTTCTTTCCCTGTTGCTGAGACTTTGAAGGATAAATTTGGCCTCTGTCATCTGTTATCTTTAAATTTGGCTCCTATACCTGTTGTGTAGAGTTTGCAGAAGTGTAACTGATGGGAATTTAGCCACTGATTACCTTGCCTCACAAAATAAAAATGAATCCAACTCACTTGATCTTAACTCTACTGATTCTTCAGGGCTGAATAGAGCAGAGTGTGGCTAAAGTAATTTTTGCCACTGAAACCAGCCTGATTCACTGCTGTTTTGCCAGTTTTTTTTAACCTCCTGTCACTGCTATTAAAAATAAACCACAATCTGTTTGAATAGTAGAAAAGGATACTTTGCAGATATACTTCTGTGAAAGAGGTTGGGTTATGGGAAAGTGACAATAAGAAGAATAAATTGAGAAGAAATTAATCTGGAAAGAAAGGTTAGTGGTAGGAGAGCACTGGAAGAATTCTTCACTCCAGCACACACGTCTTCCAGGGCTCAGCTTTTAGGTGGTGAGCCCTCAGTGTGGAGCTTCCATCCCAGCCTTGGGCACTTCCAGACACACAGAAGAGCAGAAGGGCAGACAGCCAGCTGGAAGGCTCAACTGGCAAAACTCTAAGTCTGCTCTTTGCTTCACAGCCTGTTTGCTGCTGGTGGCAGCAGTATTGCTGGAGCGTTTGGGAACACTGATTCTGGGCTTAAATCTCTTTTTGGACCCCTGTGTTGCCCAACGGGCACAGAGCTGAGGCCACGTGGTATTGCCACCACCAGCCTAATGCTGCTGCTGGCTCATGGCATCCAAAAGACAGGAATTTAACTTATACAGCAATCCAGAAGAGCAGAAGGGCAGACAGCCAGCTGGAAGGCTCAACTGGCAAAACTCTAAGTCTGCTCTTTGCTTCACAGCCTGTTTGCTGCTGGTGGCAGCAGTATTGCTGGAGCGTTTGGGAACACTGATTCTGGGCTTAAATCTCTTTTTGGACCCCTGTGTTGCCCAACGGGCACAGAGCTGAGGCCACGTGGTATTGCCACCACCAGCCTAATGCTGCTGCTGGCTCATGGCATCCAAAAGACAGGAATTTAACTTATACAGCAACCCTAGTTCCAGTGCTACTGCTGCCTGGGCACCCATCCTATATTGTGGGCTTCAATTCCCTGTCTGATACAGGTGTATGTAAAATCTGTTCTTATTCTTCTTTGTTTTCCTCGCTACTGCTGCCTGGGCACCCATCCTATATTGAGGGCTTCATTTATAAAATATGTTCTTATTCTTCTTTGTTTTCCTCGGATTTCTCTTTAGTTGGAGTAGTTGATATGCCTTGGGCTGCATTTGGCATATAAGAGAATTTTGGACTCTCCTCTGCTTTTTGAGAGCAAAATACCAATTAATGAGAGACCACAAACCTTGTGGGTTTGCACCTGTTCTGTGTGTAGAAGGCAGATGACTACTCATGATTTGAGAGCAAAATACCAATTAATGAGAGACCACAAACCTTGTGGGTTTGCACCTGTTCTAAGGCAGATAACTGCTCATGGTTTTGGTGACTAACCCTTCAGTGTGTGTGTTTGTGATTTTACCTACTGAAGGGCGACTTCAGAAATAGGTTGCCCACACTGGCGTGGCTGGCTGTTTCTAAATCTCCTACCAGGAGATGTTCTGGCAGTAGCTAAAGATGTTTTCTTCCTCTGATCCGTATCTTGCTTGTCTGCAGACAGGCCCCAGGGGTAGCCATGCTGTGATTTGTGCCCTACTTGATATATGGGTCCAGGGTTTTGGTGCTTTTCTCATCCTTCCTCATGATTTCACAGACTAACTAATATTCTGCCTTTGAAAGCATCTGTTCTGAGTCCCCCTTGGCCCCATTATAAGAAATATTCTTTCTTGTATATACCTTGCATCCATATGTCCTGGCAATATGTGAAAGTGTTTTTAATGGCAGACAAAAGGTTGTCTTAATGTAGAAGACTCTAAATATCCAGAGGGAAAGAGGTAAGAGGCTGTATTATAACTTAAAGACTCTCTTGTCACTCTGTAAATACTGACTCTGGCAGCATGTATGTGAAACTCCAAATACGCTGTTAATCATCTCTCTCCCTCATTGCTTTATAGCAAACACTGTTTTTTTCCCCTTTCTCCTAGGGTAGTGTACAATGAAGTCATCCAGACTGCTAAATACTACATGAGGGATGTGACTGCTGTAGAATCTGCTTGGCTCCTGGAACTGGCTCCTCATTTTTACCAGCAAGGAACGGTACGGAATCGGCATAAAGGCCAAACGGTACCATTGCTGTATTAACAGCTCTTGTATCTGAACTTTTTTAGTGTTTATGTTTTGTTGTTGTCTGTTTAATGGTACAAAAATTAATCTGGTTTTGTTCATTGTAGTGGTTAATATAAGGAAATAGAATAATAAGTTGATGCCTGCAAGCTTTTTCACTATTATCCAGCCAACAGACTTGATCTCAAAGTTACAAGTCAGTGTATTGCTCTGGTAAATGAAGCTTTTGACCATTTTACATGTAAATACAGGCACTTAGTAACAATTTTCTGAACAATAGTATAGGTAGGCAGTGGTCATACTTTGCATGAAAATGATTTTAGAGGAGTCTTTGCATGCTTTGTGAATGTTTGTGCAAATCCTGAGCCTTTTTTGAGCATTAATTATGTTTACTGCAAAAAATTCAGCTCTGATCTGTTCAAACTTGAAATGGCAAAGAACAGTTGCGATTTGTGCAAACCTTTATTGCAAAGTGTTGTGTGTGTTACACATATATTTTCTTCACAAGTGGCTTTTAATAGCTGTCACCATCTTTTATCAACTCTACTCATGTGAATCCATTGATCTAGATTTAGTGGTCCTTCTGAGAACTGGATTGGTATTAAAAGTTACCTAAATGTTAGTGGTCCTTCTGAGAACTGGATTGGTATTAAATGTTACCTAAATGTTAGTAGTTATGCTGGAGCTGTTGATACCACACTGCATGTAAATACTGTACAGGCAAGATTGCCCAATTGGTCTCGCAGGTGAATTTCCCATGGGAGATTAATAACTATTGAGCTTTATCTTCTAAATTAGTGAAAAATTTCCAAATACTGAGCGAAAAAGCACACTTGTATATCAGACCTATGCAAAACAAGATCTGTTTGTGCATAAGAGCAGAGGTGTTGCAAAAATGGCTGTTTCTGATTTATACATCTGCTACGCTATTTGACTTTTCTGATTTTTGCTTTCTTTCTCTTCTTGGGGGTTTTGGAAAAAAACCCAACACTAGTCCTGAGGACGTACCTCTGTGTTACAGGACACAGCGCCATTTGTGACTGTCTGTGTAATTGACTTGAGAGGGTTGTTGTTTTAATGTAAAGTTTGGATAATTCATCTCCATTGTCCTGACACTTACCATCTAAGTAGCTGAGTATCTTTTGCCTCTCTTTCTATAACGCATTGGACAGAGGCAGTAGCAACCCCTGCCATGCAGCCCCCTGAGTCTTTAGCTGCTCTTAGACATTCTGCAAGCACGGTGTAGAAAGGAGATGAGCCAATGTTCCAGTTGTATCAAATCTGCTCCGGGAATAATTAGTCCTTTTGACTCACATATTTACATGCTGTAACATCCCCTACACAACATAACATCCCTTTATGATATGACCTCTCCACAGACTCAGTTCTGGGGTGAGGTTTTCCTTTAGGTAGGTGGTGTTGGGGAATGGGACTCAATGACTCGTTCAGGCAAAACCTGAGTTGTTTTTCGTAAGTGAAGGAGGTTTGTCTAGAATAGTGCTGCCTGTCTGCCTGAGAGAAGGTGGTTTTCAAGATAGTACTACTACTGTTGTAGAGATTCTATGAAATTACATCAGAACCTAATTTTTACCATTGCCATCCTTCTGATTGGAAAGAACTCAGTTTGCAGCATGACCTAAGCATCGCTTTCATCCTGAAATCAAAGGAAGCTCTGGAGGGCAGTGCTGGTTTTGAGGAAAACTATCTTTTCCAGTTCAGTCAGTTATCCTTATCAGCCAGAAGTTTGGGTGTCTTTATAAAACCTTTAAAAGTTAGCAGTATTCCCGTTGGGTAAAGCTTTGCAGCTTGGGAAGGGTGGTCTTTGTAGAAGATTTTATTTAATTTGGGATTAAAGACTGAAAGTGTTCTAGTTGAACCCTTTTCTAATTGTGTGTACACTAAGCAATTTTTCTTTTCTTTTCTTTTCTTGCAGCACCTTTCCTTGAAAGCAAAAAGGGCTAAAGTAGATGACCACTGATTTGACGTGACTTAAGTCTTGTGACATCAGATGCAGAACCTACCAGTGATTCCAAGCTGGCTACAGTCCATTCAGCAGTCAGTTCATTAGCGATTTGATCTTACGTCAACTTAAATGTTTAAATGCCTGCCAGGACCTGTAGGGGTTTATGCATGACCAGTACACTGTAAACCTATGTAGAGCTTGCATTGTGGACGTTTTCTTCTTTGCCTACTTGACCACTGTTGTTAATCTGGGCATGTCGCTCCTTTTAAATAGCTAGAAAAAAACAATGTAAAAAAAATAAGAGGACACACAGGACTACAAAAAAAAACTGAAACCTTCGAGAAGGGAACTGGTTTCCTAGTGGTACGGCTGCCTTATGAGAGTGGGGAACAGGGTACCCTGCCTCCTATTACCCAGAGCACTGTGACTACTACCGGCCAAACTGAGACTGACTCCTGCCAGCGGGAGCTCAGGGCAACGCGCTCGCCCTCCAGATCCAAGGGGCTGCAGGGAAACACTGATTTCATGTTGGACCATCCCCAAACTGGTGCAGCTTGTGCTCCCAAGCAATGAAATCTCCAGCCTGAGGCCGAGCTGGCCCTGGCTCCCTGGGCTGTGACAGCCCTTCTGTAGGACATTAAAATGTCTTGTTTCCGTACGTGAGAGCTGCTGTTTGGGGAGGGGGAGGAAGAGTAGCTCAGTATTTTTAAGAAGGATTAATTTTTTGCTCAATCAGGGGGTTATACACATATGTTCACAAACAGTCAAATTCACAGATGGGACTTTAATTAGTCTCTCTGCTTGGAAATACCAGAAAACTTCAGCAGGGCTATATCATGGAACACTGTTTTTTAGCCTCTGTCATTCAGCAAAGATGAAAATGTTCTGTACTTTCCTATAAGGAACACAGTCCCATATATTTCTTTTAGTAAGAACCTGTTCTTTGGCGCTTGGGACTCTTCTTCACGTGTTACTGTAAGAGAAGGATGCTCGGAACAGTTGCTGCATTAATTGGGACTCCATGGCTACTTTTCAGTAAGGAGCTGTACCTTTTTGTGTTTTAACATGATAGCTTGGATACATGTATTTATTTTTTCCAACCCTTTTGATATTTATTTTAGAAACACATTGTTTGAAAGTTTTATTTTTGTAAGGCAACTGATTTGATGAATGTGGTTTTGGCACGTTAACTATAATTTTATTTTCTTTTTTTAAAAAGTATGTAAATAGGCAAAAATTTCTACATAGAACAAATGCCTTCCTTGTCACAGGACTGCCTTGAAAACTTTCTGGAGAGCTTCTTTACCTTCTCCCTTTGGAACACCTGCAGAGAGAACGTGTTCTGTTGTGTGCAACGTGTGCTCTGTTCAGTGTCTGCCTACTGACTGCCAGCACAAAAAGATGTCCCAGTCCCCATGTATGGCACCAGCAGCATGACAAACTGTGTCACCTTCCTCCTTGTTGTCCCTGGGAACCCCACCTTTGTATCACTGTCTCCTAGAATGGAAGCTCTTTGGGGCAGGGACTGTCTCCTGGCCAGAGCTGAGAGCGTTGGTGGTAATTAATAAGAAGGTTCAATTTGTGGGTTGTTTTTTTTTTTTCTCTCTTAAGGGATTGGAGAAAGAGCTGAATATGAAGATCTGTGAAATATTCGTGTCTCTCTGTCCTCTGGAAATATTCTTAAGAAAAATAAAACCATTGAATCAAGGAAGCTTGAGAATGTGTCACTTCAGCCCGAGTAGCAGGTGATTTCCCAGCATATGGGTGGTTGGACTGTGCTGGTCTGAGCTGCGATGGGTGGTCAGTGGATGGGCCACTTTGCTGGTTCTGAGAATTTTGTGTGGTTCAGGACAACTCCCTCCTCCAGAGGTACTTTTACCTGGCTGCACAGCTGCAAAAGTTTGTCTTGGAGTGATTGTTAAGAACTCAGCAACATGAAATGTTTATAACACACTGCAGCAATTGTGCTTTTCCAAGAACAAGTGCAGTAGGTAAACAAAAATAGAAAATGAGACTTCTTTTTTTAAGTAGTTTTACAAACTCTTGAGGTAATGCCAGAGATGCAGACTTTATACTAGGGATGCAAGCTAAGAGTAAGTGGGTTTAGTATCCAGATTAAGGTTACCTTTAGAGAGAAAGCGCTACTTGCATCCAAAATGGGGACCCTTTGAAGGTGTTTGAAGGCAGAGACTCAAAACTTGAAAGACCCGGAAATCTCTTTTACTTTGTAAAATTGTGGCCTACAGCTCTCTGCTAGATTTGTACATAGCATTATGCTTTAAATAACTTTGATTAAGGAGATGGGCAAATATACCTTATTGTTGGCTCTTTGCTGTGTAAACAGTCTGTGCTATTTGGGGGGGTTGGAGTCATTTGAAGATGTTTGTAAAGGAGTTTATGAAACAGTGTAAGGATTTTAAACATGACTTTTAGAGAATGGCATTAAAATATTACGCTCTTGAATTAAAACGTTGCTTGAAATGGAAGTCATGCCACCACTGGCAAGGAGACAGATTTTTTTTTTTTAAAAGGGAATTTACAATCCATTCATGTCAAAGTACTGGGGGGTGGGAGGAGAAGAGTCTGTATCCCTGAGGTCCATCAGAAAGTGCTCTCAGTGTTTCTACTCATGACTTCAGTATTGTCAGTTATAGAATAAGATGAAGCTAAACTGGTATAAAAATTCAGCCAAGATGATATTAATTGAAATATATTTCTTATTTTGTAGATTAAAAATGATAAACCAATGGGAAAACAGTCACAGCTCTTTCTGGTTAATCTGAAGAATGAGACCAGTAATTAAAAGAATAAAATTTTAAAAGAGAAATAAATAAGGGAGAGGTAACTGCCATTTCTTCTCAGTGCTTTATGTATAACAGGATATATAATTGAGCCACGCACACAGCAATGTTCTCTAAAGGTACATCAAGGTAATGTGATGTAATTTATTTTTAAGCTGAGTTAATTTTATACGTGTGTTACAATAAACACGTTACAGACAGGCATCAGGAAAAAGTGGTAAGTCAGGTTGCATGCGTTTTTAAACAAACAAACAACAAAAAAGGTAGCTTATCAGAATCAGGTATCTGTGTGACTCTTCTCGAGCTGGTGGTTCGGATTGTTTCTGGCTTGTGAGCAAATGTGAACAGGGAATAGTTTCCTGTTACAGCAAATGGAAAAACAGGCCGGGGATGCTGACATGGGGCAAGCGTTGGAGCAGGAGGGATGGCAGGGCTGTACCACACTGGAAATGTTTCTGGAGTTCCAGCCGTATCCTGCCAAGACATTTCTGATTCCCAGGGAGGGCTGGGTTCTGCCGGGAGCCTCGTTCTGTGTGAAGAAGGAAGGGAAAAGAGCAGAGAGGTGCCAGCAGAGAAGATGCAGGTGTCTCCATGGTCGATTCACAGCGTGACTCATGGCAGCGCTTGGCTTGTTTGCTCCCCATCGCTGCTGAGCGGGTGGTTACTGGGCCGCTGGCTTGGCTGGTGGGAAGCAACTTCCAGAAGCCAATTGGGAGTTAATTAGCTGAGCCAGCGTTGCTGTGCTTGTCCCCTTTGTGTGACACTTGTGGTGAACCACCTGGGTAGCAGTCCTGGAGTGGAGGACAGGTCACATGTTGGTGGGTCTGGCCACAGCTGATGCAGGAGCGCAGGCACCAGGACTACGGTGCTGCAGGGGCTCCATCAGGCTGGGCCCAGCCCTTGGCCTTGCCATGTGGGAGGTGAAAACCACCTAGAAAATACACTGTTCTGGATTTGAAAGGTGTTCTGTTCTGAGATGTAGCTGTCAAAATCATTCCTGATGTTTCAGCTGGTTTTTTTTACCAAGAAAAGTTACCTGAATCTGTTTTTTCCACTAGCCCTTCAGACCCCCCTCATTTGGGAGCATCAATGTGCACTGGTGACTGTGTCACCCTGTCACTCTGGTAAGTGTCACTTATGGGTCTAGCTGGTCACTTTTGAGCAAATCCATTGAAGGCAACTTGGAACCAGGGTTTGTTACTGTAATTTCATAACTCTGTGTTCTTCTCTATCAAGTGGCCGTACCATCAGCTACTGGCAAACAAAGTCAACAGCACGACTCAGTATTTAGGGTAAGTTCCTCTGCAACAAACAAGTTGCAAGATGAACCTAAGTGGCACAGGGAAAAACTGTCCTTATATCCAGTTTCTGGTCTGTTCTCAGACTTGCAGAGCTTTTGTCCTTGAGAGCTTGGGTGGGTTTTTTCTTCTCTCAATTAATAACTTTATCTTTCTCTGTGAGTTTCCTCAGAGATGTGCTTTTTTGGTTTGAAACTGGCTGCATTTTGACAAAGGTGCCAGTAGATGGCAGGCATCAGTTTCAAGTAGTAGTATATTGGGGAACGAGTAATTGGCCAGTTTTTAAAAGTTTTTCATACTCTTCAGTTTTACCATTACATTGATTTGGTGATAAGCAGGATGAGGAAGGGTAAAGGGAAAAGCTGTTGATGACTGTGGGATAAAGGCAGTATTTGAAGTGCAGAGATTAGTGTAAAAGCCTGGAGTGCTGTGTGCTCCATTGGTTTAAAAACAAACAAAATGTCCCAAAACCCAAAAAATCCCAACCAATACATTCTATAGTGGTTCTCTCAATTACACACTGAGCCTGGCAGAGTGTGCTGGGTGGGAGTGTGTTAGCACTGCAAGGAGACAGTGTTTGTTATGGGCTTTTATTCTTGGCTTATCCAGGTGACCATCCAGAGCTGAAACTGAAAGAGGTTATTTCCACTTTTTTGTAACTACTTCCAGCTGCTGGTCTCACTTTTTCAATTAACCCTGCTCTCAAGCTGGGTGCTGCAGGAAAAGGCAGGAGAAAAAAAGGGCTTGGACAGAAGAGCTTTGCAGGTGGGAGAAGTTAGAGGAGGATGTTTCCTATCTTTGGAGTGAGAGCTGGATGGCACAATTTCCCATTGCCTCACACAGATGTTCTGCAGCTGGAAGCGAGCACGAGTCCTGCTTTGCTTGTGCAACAGTCTCTTCGGGGTCAGTGAGTCTCAGACCTGACTGGGGATCACCCAACCACTTCACTGTAGACTTTCCATCCCACGCTACTTCACTGGGCAAAGTCAAAACTTCCAGAAGAAAGAGCAGAACAGAGAACAAAAACTTGCAACAGCTTCTTGGCTCCATTCAGGCCAGGAATGAGGTTGCTCCTTGCAGATACACGTTGGCAGAAAGATAATCCCATCAGACAGGGAGTGTTTTGATGCCAGGAAACATCTTCTGTGAGTTCATTAACACTTGCTGTTTCTCTTTTCAGTACCCAGTGAGATACCAGGGTTTCGTAAGCCCCCTGAGCTGTGGGAGAGCCCCGCTGAGGCGAGAGCAGGGAGGGAGCCCTTTCAGATGAGTTAGAACCTGAAAGAGCCAGGCTCATGTTCAGTCCTGCTACCGAGGGCAGGAGCTGTTTGTAAAGCAGAGCTAATCCTTCTCCTTCCTAGTCTTTCCCTTGCCTGTTAACGTTTTGGGAGGCCAAAGAGTGTTTCCAGGTGTGTGGGCATGCACATGGGTGTTCAGTATCTGGGACAACAGGGCACAGACCTTCAGGTGCTTCAGGGATGGGAACCTGTCAGGGCTTTGGGGAGTGGAGAAACAAGGGATGCACTTTATCTAGAAAAGTAAAAAAAAATCAGCAAAACCTGCCCCAAAAGGTGCTTGTTACTGAAGGGAATGCCCTTCTGTGAAGCCCAGGTTCCTGCTGTCATTTCCCAGTGGCCGTTAACAGGGAGGTGGGTCCCACAGACCGAGGTCCAGCCTGGCTCTGCTGCCCCACGGGCACAGGGGGCTGAGTGCTGGGTGAGACATTGACTAGGGCAGCTGCTCTGCTGTGTAAATACAGGCTGAGATGGTATGAAATACCAACGGCCATTGGGAGCTGTCAGACTCTCAGGACACCTAAAAGGGATCTTTGTGGCTCCCTTGGGGGTGCTGGGCATCCCTGTGTACCAGGGGGTGTCAGAGCTGCATCACAGCTGAGGGAGGGCTCTGTCTTGCTCAAAATCACTTTGATTTCTTGGAAATTGTGACTAATGCTGATTTAACTCTTTGCACTGCAGGAGGAGCCACTGATGAGAAAACAGTGTGTTACAGTGGGGAGGGATGGACTGGAGAAACCTGAAAGTGTCTCGTTTTAGATGGAGAAGCAGAAAGTGATTCCTCCTGCAGCTACATGCGTGGGACCTGCTGCACTGGGGCACTTCCAGAGGTTGTCAGTCCTAGCTCTGCTACAAAATCAATTCACCACCTACGTGATAGGGCACCAAGCTGGGGTTTGGACACATGGTCTGGCTTATGGGGCTCACCACATGGCTATGCAGCCAGTTATTAAAGCTTGTGTACGTGCTACTTGTTTGCAGTGCTGTGCATCTCTCTCCCCGTGGTGGCCACAGACAGGCTCTGTTTGGCTCAGGGTGTCCCATGGCCGTGGGGAAGCTCTAGAGTGTTTGTGTCCCTGAGCCTTGAGAGCACAGATGGGTTGGATGATTTTCTGTGCAGCTGTAGGGACTCAAGTTACATTCCGGTTCTCATCCTGTCAACAAAACATCTATGGAAAAGCAACTTTTTAGATAAATTCTTTAAAGAACAAATTGCAGCACTCAAGCTTCTCGGGAACCCTGGGGATGTCACTGTTCAAAATGTCCCCACTGGTGCTATTTTGTGAGCAGCATTTGTGGCACCTGAGCATGTGTGTG